AATTCTCCCTGTGATAGTCATTGGGATGCAGTTGTCCGCATTATTCGATATATAAAATCGGCTACAGGCAAAGGGTTACTCTTTGAGGATCGAGGTCATGAGCAGATTATTGGATACTCAGATGTTGATTGGGCAGGATCACCTTCTGATAGACGTTCTACGTCTGGATATTGTGTTTTAGTAGNGGTGTCCTGGAAGAGCAAGAAACAGAATGTAGTTGCTCGGTCTAGTGCAGAAGCAGAATATCGAGCAATGGCTATGGCAACATGTGAGCTAGTCTGGACCAAACAATTGCTCAAGGAGTTGAAATTTGGTGAAATCAGTCGGATGGAACTTGTGTGCGATAATCAAGTTGCCCTTCATATTGCATCAAATCCGGTGTTCCATGAGAGAACTAAACACATTGAGATTGATTGTCACTTCGTCAGAGAAAAGATACTTTCAGGAGAGATTGCTACAAAGTTTGTGAGGTCGAATGATTAACTTGCAGATATTTTCACCAAGTTTCTCACTGGTCCTCGTATTGGTTATATATGTAACAAGCTCGGTACATATGATTTGTATGCACCTGCTTGAGGGGGAATGTTAGTTTACAGCATGTATATATTGTAGTATTGTCCCACATTGGTAGAAGAGTAGTATGTCCTTGTATAGTATAGCTATAAATAAGGACCTCTTGTATTGTATTGTTCATCCAATATCAATAATATATTTTCTCTCGTGCTTTCTCACAGTATTGATGAAAGATGAGGTAATGAAGGAATACTTGAGAGTATAGGGTACTTGTTTGGTTTCTTATTTACTGCTTCAGAGACTTTTGAGTACAAAACTCAAAATTCAATTGTTTGGTAAGAAAATATATACTTTTGGACAGTTTTTGAACAAAAGTCTATCTTTGAATAGTGAAGAGCAGATTTTGTTTGAAATACTCTCTTTTGGACAAGATTGAACTAGAAAGTCTTGCCTTTTGAATTTTAGAGCAAATTTTGTTGAAAAATCTGTCCAAAAAAAAAAGACAAATTTTTAATCATGAAATGCCTAGTTTTTCGTCTATAAAAAACATATATTTTTAGAGTAGCAGGGGGATCTCTACTGACTAAAAAAAAGGAGAGAATTTTGAGAGAACTTTCAATAAAATCATCTTTAGTAGGTGAAAATTGTGAGTCTCTTAGAGTGCAAAACCTTTGAGAAAAATAGAAAGACCCTTCAGGCAATTTGTGAAGTTGTTTAGCCATTAGTTTCAAGCATCTTTGTTGGTTTTCTGGGATGTTTTAAAGCCATTTCTGCTGCTGTTTTTTACTCTATTCTTGCTCATTCTACAGTTGTATTTTTACAATTCTGCGATCCATGTATTTATTTTTTTTTTACTTTGTATTGCAGATACTTTCAGAAGTAATAAAGATTTGAATTTAGTTTGGATTGTTGGAACATGAATATGTTCAATTTTGTCTAAGAATAAATATTATGATTGTGATAAGTGCTAGAAGAGTAGAAGTCAGTTAACATTAACTTTCTTTTACATGGGTAGTTGAAACCATTTTTATTTTTTTTGTATGTTTATAGAGGTTAGTTTTGAATGCTTTATGTTTAAAGTATTGAAAATTGATTAGTGCTGGATTTTTGGCCTGCCACTCTGATTTAGATCTTAATTAAGATAAAAGTGGTTGTTTAGTAAAGTGGTTGTTTATGCAATCATGACGTGGTAGAAATGGCTATAGTAAAATTGGTTGGGTCAATAATCTGGCCTTCAGGTGGCTGTCTATGCAAACCCCAATTTCAAAGTATCCTGGGCCAAAACCTAAGTTTCTGGAGGCCCAACTACAACAAGTTAAGGGCTGGCCCAATGTTAAAGTTGTCCAAAATGGGCCAGCAGTGTAAATGCACCAAAATTGGCCCAGCAGCCCCAATAACAAAGAAAGTGGCCCAATGCCATTTTAAACCCAATAAACAAAGCTGGTCCAAATTTCCAATTATCAGCTTTTCAAATAATTTTCAATTTGTCATATTTCCTTCTAAATTATGTAGCTTAATTAACTATGTAACTTAGTATTTAAACTGCAGATAAACAATAGGCGCGCTATAATGTTTTTCGTCTTGGTCGCACATTCGCTTGCGTGGTGCGGTTAGGACCATTTAATATTATCCAAGTCATTCTTTAATAATTTTAATAATCAAGCAATAAAAGCAGACATAGAAAAAAATATGAAAATCTTATAAATCACAGTTTGTCCAAAATTAATTCAAGCCAAGTTTAAGTCAATAAAGCGACCGTGCTAGAACCACGGGGCTCGGGGAATGCCTTACACCTTCTCCCCGGTGAACAAAATTCCTTACTCGAACTTTGTTTTCGCAGACCGATAAAAATAGAGTCGAACCTTCATTTAACTAGGGATTCAAATAAATGGTGACTTGGAACACCGGAAAAAAAATCAATTCCAAGTGGCGACTCTGAACAATAAAATAATCCCTATTTCAAAATTGTTACTTCAATCGGAAAAACTCTTTAACCCACAATCCATAAAATATATATCTTGGGGTTAAAAAGGGGTGTGACAGTACATACATCTCGTATGTGTCAAGCTTGCAACATATATAATTGATTCGTGAATAGACAAAGTACTTGGTGAATAATTTGCAACACTAATCCTTTGACTTTACAAATTTAGTGTCAATATCTCCTGACGATATCTTTTCTATAATTTTTATGTGCTTGGTTCCCATGAAACATTGGATTTGGTGCAACTTAAAGTGCGGCTGATTATCATTAAGAAGTTCCATATGGTAGCCTCCTCAAAATTTAGTTCTTTAGTAATTGTATTGATCAATATTTGATTGTAAATTGCCATCGTCGCCTGATTCTGCTTCTAAGCTAGATCTCAAAACGACATTTTGTTTCTTTCTCTTTGAAGACACTAAAAAATAGTAACATGCAGTGGAGAACCCACTAGAAAGTGACTGTTCCTATCTGTATCTAGATAACCACCAATCTAATCATGTCCTCGATTATCGATGCATAATGCTTAACTGAAGCAAATTTTGTGTTACTCAATGAAACAAATAACTATTCGTCTATCCCAATGAGTACCACTGGAAACTAACTTATAATACTCAACACACATGCCTGAATTATTTTATAGCACACTTCACAATCTATATATTACATTAATGATTAATCCCTGAAACTTTAGAAAGTGCACAACTATACATGTATGTATTATACTAAGTCTAAGCCTAACAATCTCACAATGATCTTATACACTCTCACATACCATAGTGCACCATCTTTGTGCAATTTCACCTCTTTAGCTTCATTTGTACATTGGAACAAAAGAGTTTGTATCCAGCAAGCAACTTTCACAAGGTCCAAGTCATAGTCTAACAACATTTCTACACCATGACAAACTCTTGTAATGCAAAGTGAAAGCTAAGTAGAAACTTGTGCACATGTACGGAAATTCAAGAGCATTTAGACATGAATTGGTTGAAATTTGAAGGCAAAAAAAGGGTATTTGAAATTAAAGTTGAAAAAGGGTATTTGGATTTTGGAAGCTGAATTTTGAAACCTAACTTGAGAACTGCTTCACTGGTTCACAACCATGGGTCCCACCTATGATTATATGAATAATGGTAGAGGTAAAATCCTTGTGGCCTCTGCCCTTATTCAATATGATCAGGAACCAAGGATGAGGGCAACAGACACAAACGCGGAAATGATTCTAAATCTAAAACTTTTTATCGTCATTCCATGCATCTTGTCCAATGGCACCTTTATATGCTACACTAATGCATTCACTTATTGAAGTAAACATTAAAAAAATACTCCAGATATCTACATTCTCCAGACAAGCTTGATAGAATTTCACCTTTTCCATATGCATGCACTTTGCTAAAACATGGGTAGGAGTAACAAATGCAAGAACAATGGATAAGAATTTATGCGGATAATTCATGAAATCGATTCATTTAAAGCGAAAAATTTGATTGTGCCAGAAAATCTTTCTTAATTACCAGGTCATGTTAACATGTAAGATCCTAGAGAAGACCTATCCTAAAGGAAAAACCAGTTGGCACCTTATTTCTCCTGTGCTCCAACTCAAAAAGAAAAGCTAGAAGTAGCTACTAGCTCCAATACAAATAACTCCATTTGTCCTATTTCATTTAACCTAGTTGCTATATAGTATATCCATAGTAAGAGAAGTTCTTTTTCACTGCTAACCTTTAGTTAGATATTTGGCATGAATTAAGTCCATTCATGTACACATACATCTTTTAGCAAATAGCTTCAAATCCTTTAACAGTACGAATTTACCTTAAAGCTGCAAAATGAAACAAAACTGGAAAATGAAATCAAGAACATAAATGGCATTCAAATCACACCTTCCGTGCTGTGACAGCTCCTTCATGGTGGGTACATGATCCTCGGGAAGTCCAACAGAAGATAAAAATTCCCTGATGTCGTTGCAGAGATCAACATTGCTTTTCACCTTCCGGCTTGCACTATACCCACCAAAAACAAGAAAAAGAACGCCAAGCACCCATCTAAGTAAGAACAAGAACCCAAGATTGCAAGAAAACTACTCAAATTAGTGCAACCAAGATTCTCATAGTTAATAAGTCAGCATAAAGAACCAAGCTTTAAACCCAATACAATTAAGAAACGTAGAGAAAACTAAAATGCATCCAAATGGGTCATGAAAAGGAAGCTGAATTTGTTATTAAAGCACAATTTCAGGAAAAGTACTCACATTACTGAAACCAAGATTCTCATAGCTAATAAGTTAGTATCGAGAACCAAATGCTAGACACAGTACAATTAAGAAACGTAGATAAAACTAAAGTACAGCCAAATGGGTGATGAAAAAAAACCTGAATTTATTCTTGAGGCATAATTTCAATAAAACCACTCACATTAGTGCATTCAAAAAAATTTCAAAAGCTAAAAAAGTCAGTCACAAGAACCAAACCACAAACATACCAGCAAACAAGAAACGTAGATAAAACCAACATACAGTTAAATGGTTGATGAAAACGGAACTGTAATTTCCATTGAAGCAAAAATAACCTAGATTTGAAGAAAAAGCACTCACATTAGTGCATTAAAAGTCTATCACAACTAAAAAGGTCAGTATCAAGAACCCAACTACAAGCACAGTATCAGTATCAAGAACCAAACTACAAGCATAGTACCAGTACCAAGAACCAAACTACAAACATAGTATGTGTCATGAACCACTGGAATTTGGAGTTATGTTAATTGGTTATAACCTGAAAGGATAGTGACGTGGTCCAAGTGGTAGATTAAATAAAAGGCCTGATTAGTATTTTATTATGTGTGTGGATTAGCAAGGCGCAATAGCTATTGGTCTGTGATGGGTAGGCACACTCTATAAATAGAGGCCAACCCCCATTTCCCTAGCTATCACAAAAACTCTAGTGTATTTATTCTTGAATACGTAGTATGGCAGTTGACGTCCCATCAGTCGTATTCTCCGGACTGTGAGATTGTTACTTTTTTTTATAATCATGGTGTCCGGGCAAGCTTGCACGCACCTCGACTAATTTCATGGGATACCAACTACCTCCCACCAGCAACAGGTACCAGGCTTAACCGTGGTTTGATATCGCTGCTAAATCAATGGAGTGGAATGGTATGTGTATCTAACCCTAACACAAGATTATGTTCATATGTCTATATAATTGTATCTTAATCTCTGCTATGGTAGCACATAATTAATCTTACACCACAAACATAGTATATAGCCAAAAGGGTAATGAAAAAGAACCTGAATTTTTTTATTGAAGCACTTTTTTTTTTAAGAAAAAGCATCACATTAGTGCATTCAGAAACACTATGAGCTAAAAAGCTCAGTACAACAAACCAAACAATAAACGCAGTATCAGTATCAAGAACCAAATTAACTACCAAACTACAACCATTTTACACTCAAGAAACGTAGAAAAAAACACCAGAAAAGGGAGAAGTCAAAAGGGTAATGAGAAGGAACCTGGGTTTTTTAATTGAAGCACAAATTGCAGGTTTTGAACGGTAAACAAGAAGGTAATGATGACCTGTGCAGCAGAGAGAAGTCGGGAGAGGAGAAAAGAATACTTTGGGAAAGTGGAAGAGAGTAGCCATATGAGTTTTGCAGCATTTGAAAATTTGGGAATTTTGAGTTATGAAGCAAAACTGAATATTATAAACAGACAATGTCTTTATTGGATTGCTTTCCACATAATTCTGGGAATGCAGTTTCTTTTTCTTTCCACACAATTATGATTTGTCTATTTGTACGAAATGAATTGAAAACGTTGTTATCCTTTCTCTTTCGATTTATTAACACTGTGTGGAAAACTTTAGTGCTATTAAATTGGTTTTTTCCCACTTTAACACATAGCTTATCAACTTTTGTAAGTTATTGTGTAAAATTTCATATACAAAAGTTATAATCATTTCTCTTTGCTATACCTAACGACTGAAATTGTACTTTGCCTTTGTAGTTTTTAATCTCGCTTGTATGCCTCGCTATTAATTTAGTTCACCATGTTCATTTTCGATTGATTTTACTGTGTATTTACGTCTTCCACATTATTTTATAGATTTCGAGCATATTATGTTGGATTTTTTCTGTATTTCAGTTAATGATATTTTTGTCCAAATTTTATTTAATACTGTAGTTATTATTTTTTAATTACTTTACAAACACTGACTATTTTTCAATTACCTGTTGAAAAACCAGTAAGCCCGTGTTATTTTGACCATTCCATTTTATGTTTGACTACCCTACCAGGTAGAAATAACATCAGGTAGCCACTTTAAAGGGTTGTTATTTAAGAGTTAGTTAATGCGTCCTGAATTTCAGTTTTTCAGTTCAAAACTTTGGGACAAAATGTCTTAAATTGTTCTGGAATTAACATTTTTAGTTTAAAATCTCGGAATAAAATAAGTACCGGCTAATCTCTAAATAATATCCCTGAGAATGGCTATTTGTGCACTTGCCCCACCCTACCAATCCCTTCGAAGTAGTAAGGACAATCTGGTATAGCCCAGGCCCAAATATAGGTCATATATTGTGAGCCCAATCACAATTGGGCCATATTAAGTGGTTATTGAATAGTATTATCACTTTTAGCCCGCGTCAGAAACTATTTACATTTGATAGCCGAAACAATGTATAAAACTTGTATAATTTTTATATATAACATACATAATGTATATAGATACAAAAAATATACACTTTTTATAGATTTTTTTTGGCTATTATTTTTTCATGTCATTTTTCCTTATTAAATTGACTCTTAAACCCAACCACCGTGAGAAGTGGAAATGAAATTGAAACTTGAATTAATCTATAATGATAAATGATTGATGGTATTTCCAAGCTAACCTCCGAATTTAATTGTCAGAGGGCACATTTTAATTCATACAAATTTTACACAATTTTATTAGGTTTATAAAAGTAATTGATAAAACCCACCATGAGATAGTAACTTTTTTTGTATTGGTAAACGACAACTTGGTGACAAATATGAGAAATTTATTATTGGTTTCCTATGGAATTTTTCCTTTTTCAAAAATAAAATATCATATTGGTTTTCACATTTTCGTCCATATTTCTTTTAGTCCTATTTACATAATCGATTGTCCACAATGCATACCTAAAAGTTGTTATCAACTTAATCTTCTAATAAACAATGAAACACTATTATGAGAAATGTTCTAGAAACTAAATATAATGTCAATGGCCGTTGAATTTTGAATGAAGCCAAAACTATTAAATAATATTAAAGATTAACGTTATTATCACGAGAGAGGACTTTGTTATAACCTTTTAGGTGTATTTGCCACTACTTTATATAAAATTACTAAATTATTTTTTTAAAGGATTAGCTTCCCATATCCTTCTCTCCTATGTGTGTGTTTGTGCAAGTATTGTTTTCTTCTTTAAGGAACACCATTTTCAAGCATAAGTAGCTAGGTTTCACATTATTCAATTTGGTAAATGTTTTCTTAATTCACATATGGCTTTCTCCTACATCTAAATGTCAACTACCTTCTACCAAAATTTGTCCTACACTTTCTGGTTGAAAATACGACCTAATAATACCTATGAACACAACCATGATAATATAAGCTAAGTGCGTCCATATATTATAAAGAGAAACAAATAGGCTCTTAAAAGTGAAAATAGCATGAGCTAGTCAGTTTTTGGATTGATAATCGAAAAATTAGCTATCGTTTGCAAAGTCAATGAAAAATAGCCACTATTTTATGCGAAAATAAAATCTGGACAAAAATACCCTAGGTGAAACACGAAAAGTTTCAACATAATATGTTGGATTATAGAGCTCCTTAGTATAAACTTCTAGCATATTATGTTGGAACTCCAACACATTATAGAATTCCAGCATATTATGTTGGAATCTCATATGTAAAAAATTCGAACTCTAGCATATATTATGCTGGATTTTTTTCGGATTTTTAAGAGTGCTTTTGTTCAGATTTTATCTTTATATAAAAAAGTGGCTAAATTTCGATTACTTTTGAAACTGTGACTAATTTTCAATTATCAATTGTAAATCAGGCTATTTATGATTTTTCTCCCCTCTTAAACGCATTAAAAAGAAATTGAAATGAATAAAGTAAAAAAGAACCAAAGTCAAATTTGATATACTTCAAACATTAAATAGTAAATATAGATTGACTACGTACGTTAATCTTAACGTAACTCCACACGTAACATGTAGTTTGTTCTTTGGTAGGGAAGCTTCCAGCTCCTTATTAATATTTCATTTGTTTCTTTTATCATTTCATTTTTCAATTCAAGATTCCATAGCAAAGAAGAAGACAATACCCCCCC